GAGCCGTAAGACTATTGTTATGTAGGAATGCATCTATTTAACGAGCAAAGGCTGGAGCACACATTTCTCAAGCAGATTAAAAACCGTTATTGTGTAACTCCCAGATGTTGTAATCAAGTGCGCCCACATCAGGTGACATAAATGCTGGACTGGAGAAGATGCGGTCTCTGCTGCCATCCCCCGACTGTTGCAGGCATCGACATGGTTAAAGTACTTGTTCTGCAGTCTCACCGGTTTCCCTGTTTGCAAGTCACTGCATGTACGATAAGTCGGTGCTGTTTGGTTTGCTTCATGTTGTAGTCTAATATAAGGTTTATAAGTACAATAAAACATTGCATCTATATTCTGGAGGACAGAATACAAGGGCTACATTAGATGTAGGTTAATTATGTGATATCTAAGCACTCTCCCTCCGGATGTGTCGTTAGTCAAACAGACTGTGACCGGAGCTGGCGGACACCGGGGGAGTCGGATTTCCCTTCATATCACACAGGATTCTCGCGGCAACACGAGACCAGCAAACCCCAGAGTTCATCATCGTCATCATGTCGGTGGCGTCCTCCCTCCAGTTATGCAGGTAGGATGTTTGAAACGACGAATTAACACATGTACGAGCAGCCATACTACACGCAATGTGCTGCTGATGGACAAGTGATGACAATGGCGGGGGCAGTGGCGTCATGCGTTAGCCTTTCCCACAGGATGACAACCCAGATAATCCGCTTCATGGCTCGTTATAATACACAGACCACGGCTCTGGTTACATCGTCTCTGTCCGGTCGGCAATGTCTAATTTTCACTATGTTTATTTAAACAGACTGTTTTCAGTTTATTTAGGATGAGGGCTTCCGCCGAGCAGAGGCACAGACCGTCTATGTCGTATGTGATGACTCGAGACCGGTGGCACCGGTAGGACACGTTATTACATTAGCGAGGAGACATTAAAGTCGTCATCATTTTACTGAAACTCCGGAAGTTTTATTTTATAACGTAGGGTTAATAATATGGTTTCTGTAAATAGCAGATCTCGACTGTGTCGTTAAATCCTTTATTTACTCAAAGATAATAACCACCACCGACTGTGTGAGAGACAATGGTAAACTACCTGCATTATTAAAATACCTTTGCAATGAATGAATGCTTTCATTTTCCAGCAGCATGTAGGTTTGGCGATACCTGTGCTCGCCTCTAGGTGGAGCCATACAGCTCCGTCCCTGTTACAACAGCTCTGCTTCAAAATACCTGTTAGTCCTTTATTCAGAGCTGTAGTGTTGTCACAGTGTACAACATGTCAGAAGTACTTTCATTTGTTTTTAAACACCCTATAAGCATACCATTGTTTTTTAAAGTGTACAGTTTTAATAATAATCACCTAATAATATTTTATAAACATATTCAACTGTTCAACCCAAGTAAAATGAACAATAAAATATTGCACACAAATATATGTATAAGGCAACAACACTGGCTGATCAACATATTTTGATATGGAGTCAGCTGTAATTTGAAATCAGTTAGGTCCTACAGACAGGCAGAATGCACTATGCATAATTTACTATGAAAGCTATAAACCCTGCTGTATGATTTGGAATACAAGGCTAATCTGCTTTGAAAGAGTGAAACCTTCTTGATTTCACATAATTTACCTCTTCAAGCCTTTAGATGACTCCAACATATTTAAAACATTTTATATAATTTTTGAAGGTTCCATATTGATGTGGCCATGCAGCAATACACCACTGGATGGAGACATCAGTACAGAATCTAAAATGAGCTATTGCTGTGTCATGGTCAAAGTATTGTATGATTATTTAGTGATGTTGTTTTTTTGTTACATCTACTTAAACTTGCCTTGTCTGTGTCAGAAAATAATTACTACATTTCCCACATAGACTTTTACCGTCACTGTTCAAACAGTTGGTAAAGTTAAAGGTGTGTCTGTATGCAAAAGCAGCCAGTTATCAGTTAGTTTGTAGGCTACAGTGTATAGTGGAGTTTATCCATGATCATGGCCACTCCTCTCACCTAACGCTCTGTGTGTCTCATGGCTGCAGTGCTGAGGCGGCTCTTCTGGTTGGAGGCTGGAGATGCGCTTCTCATTTTACGATTGTTTAATGTCAAAATGTGAAGCTATGCACAACTTCACTCACTAGAAGCATGAATTATATACAGAAATGGCAAACAAATTCACTACCAAAGAACAAATTTGATGTCAAAATATGAAAATATTAGTGTTGAATGCCTTTGAAAAACGTAACCAGGGGGTTTTACATTCATTGTTTCTTTAACTCTCTGCACCGTATGCACACTGCTGAATCAATCCTGTCAGATTAAACCTTTTGTAAACTGGGACATCTACCAAGATTATTGCCAGTGATCCCATTCCTCTGAAAACATTCATTATGCACCTTCAGTGTGTCAACAATATTGCATCCTTCTATGGTTTTTGCCCCAGACGTTTTACTGCCTCTCCCCTGCTAACGTGTTTTCTCATGGCAGCTCTTGGCCATTCTGGTCCACATTCTGCCTTCCTACCACTTAAGCCACTATGGGATAAATACAGTACACCTCCCGTCTGCCAGTGACCATCTTCCATTTCCTGTTTTCTCTTTCTAAGAAAAACCTAACATACAGTCTGATGTGCTTTATTTTCTCATCTAATCATCAAGGGCAACAATCTAATCCCTAACCCTCTTCCCATCCTGCAAGTTTGAATGTTGTCTATATGTCCAATCGTCAGATTTTTCATATTACTACATCACTTTAGAAACATTTCAGAACCGAGTAACTTGTTACATTTTTTCAGATCCTTATTGGGTTTCATGAATTGTGATAAACTGCACACCCACAGTACTGTAGATCAAAAGGATTCATCATCTCTAAAGCTTGAGACATGGCATCATCATTTTTTTACAGTACATTTGAAAACACTGTTGGGGCTGTGACCCTCATACTTGCTTACAAGTGTGTTGCCATGCTAATGCCTCTAAGTCGCATTAGATGAAAACATCAGCTAAATGTGTAAATTGCAAATATGAAGTTTTTCCTCAAGCTGCTATTGTTCATACTAATGTCTTTAAGTTGTTTTTTAATAATAATAATCAACTGCTGTGTGTCTGCCCTATGTAAACATACAGTTGTGAGTGTTTGACAAATGCCTGTCTTGCCTGGTAACATAAGATTGTCTGGCTATATGAACTCTCCATACTGTTCTTTGTTCTTTGCTGTGCTCTTACTGTCGGGGCTTGGGACAGAAATGACACCAAAACATGCTTTTCTGAAGCTAATTCAATGCTTTCGCCATCATTCTTTTCAACACAGGTAAAAGTAAAGCGTTCTGTGTTTGTTTCAGCAGG